AGAAACCTTTAGAGTTCAGACGACAGAACGGTTCTGGTTGCTCAAACGTGACATAAAAGGCTATGCTAATCTGGTAGCTAATGTTAGCATGTGTGTTAATGTTAGCGATTCGCTCCTACCAATCAGCGTTTTGCAGTGTCACCTATTGGTATTGGCTCAGCTCGCTTGGAACCTCCAAAGGAGGTGATACCAAAAATAGTACCTGGTACCAGGTACAAGATTTACCAAATGAAAAAAAACAAAAAAGCTGAGCCGGGAACCATCAGCGAAATAAGCGGCTTTAGTGCTTAGTTAATTTGTTTATTATGATATTTGTACTAGACGATAAAACCCTGGCAGTGAAATAATACTGAAAATCACATGCACATGACATATTAAGAAAGCTGGAGGAACTTGGCAAATAATGGGTCACTTTTATTAATCTTTGTTAATTCTATCTTCCACTTATGAAATACAATAAATTGGTTCACTGAATTATTCTGATAAAAAAAAACATTTAAGAAATTGCACATGAATGTTTTGGCTTTTTTCTGTTGCATATAAAAAATTCATGATGCACTCTTGATGCTGGCTAGCTGACCTAACTACACTCTTCTCCTTCTTCTAGGGTTCTTTAGTAAAAGCATGGTTCTTTGCATGGTGAAACGATTCTTCAGATTGATGGAGAATGTGTTGTATATGGTTCTATATAGAATCTTTTTTTTTTGGCGCTATATAGAACCCTTTTCAATATCATGATACTCGTTATGGTGATAAATTGTCACAGTACGTTTTTCTGAGCATGTCGTCAGTACCTAAAGAACACTAACTACGTTTCATTACAAAGTGAGCATAATTAGGCTTGTTTAATCAGATTTAGTGCAGCACAGTTTGTAAAACAATGAATAAAATCATTGTAGTTAAGTACATAATGTATTATTATTATTATTATTATTAGTAGTAGTAGTAGTAGTAGTAGTATTTATGGTACTGCTGGTTTTATTTTGACTGTTTCAGCTTATTAAATATCAGAAAAACTAAATATTGTGATGCATTTCATGCATCATAAAAATGTCTTGAAAAATCATAATATAATATTTTTGCCATACCGCCCACCCCAGTTGCATGGTTAATTTTTGTAAGAGAGAAACCTTAACCTTATTGTTAGCATCCAGTGCTTGCCGTGCAGTATGTTTTGCTAAAATCCATAAAATGTTTCTGAGAAAGAGGCTTTTGTTTACTGAAAAACTGCAAGTACAATATTTCACTGGTCCAGTAGAAACACAGAGGTCTTTCCACAGTAGTGGTTCTTGCTTTTTAGACTGGAGTCAGCCTGCAGACATTTAAATAGCTGTGTGGTGCTGACTGGTTTTCTCCAAGTACATTAGGGTCAGTAATGCTGCAAAGATGATTGGAGAAGATGTGCATTACAGCATGCTTGTGAAGCCTTTGTCCTCCTACACAGTGTGCACTGTATATAGAATATCCTACTTCTGCAATAACAAAAGATCTGTAAAAAACATAGTACTAGAATGAACTACACTGGGTAAGATGTACATAACATTCTTATAATAATGTTCTACATCTAACATGTTCCTAAATGATCCTTTGCTTTGAATACTTGGCCAGTTAGTTCTTTGCCATTGATTCTCTGAGTTCATGGCCATTGTCTCTAGGAAAAACCTTTATTTGGGGTAGAATCTGTACATCATGTGGAAAAGGGTTCTTTACACATATTTCAGTTAAAACATTCAAGAACCAAGCAAAAACAGGCTCTTTAGGGAACCAAAGAGCCAATAATCACATGTGCTTTGCATCTTGCGTACTGTCACTGTTGGGGAAAAAAACGTATATATCTCCAGAAAGGTAACTTTACAGAAGATGGAAAATACCTTCTTAACTTTAAGTGGACACTAATGGGGAAATTATTTAATCCATATAATTCTGGACCATTTCTAGCGGTCCACTCGTCTTGAAATTTGACACCATGTAAAAGGCAGCTAGCGATTTCAAATTATGTCTAAAGCTGGAAAAAAAAACAAAAAAACAAAAATGGAGATACAACTGACAGCAAAAATACATTTTTAACCCATGGTGAACTCAGAAATTTTTAAGTTTCCATAATAATTAACTAAAGGTTGCTGTGATCAAAATAAATCCAAATGCAATGTAACACATTGTCAGTAGTGTATGCAAATCCCCTGTTTAATGTAGAGATATGCTAGCTAGGAGACAGACATAAGATCATGTGAGTAGAGATGTCACAGTGCCATCTTTTCTTTTCCAAAACTGATACTGATGTTGAGAACTTATGATTTTTTTCAAAAATGACTCTGAATGAATTTAAAAAATTGCTATTTTTAGCTGAAGCACTTCACTGAAGATGAGCATCTAAAAGCAGTCTATCATGCTGAAACCACTCAATCACTCCTCTACCCCACAGAATGGATTTTTTTTCCTCCAGTTTCTCATCCAACATATTCTGATATCAATACTCATCTATACTGATAAGTCATTCCTACTTGAGAGTAAGGGTGAGTAATAAGGCAAAACATCATATCACGATATTTATGCATCACAATACATACACGATACACAGCAAATTAGGCAGTACTAGTGCATTATGTCTATCAAGAATTATTGGGTACAATCATTTTTATTTAATGTTTTACATACTATGCTGCACTAAATCTAATTAAACAGGACTAATTATGCTCTCTCTGTAATGAGCCATATCCACAATTCGGTCAGAAAAGCATATTGTTCAACACAATTTATCACAAATTTATCACGATAACGATAAAATATCGTCACATTGCCCACCTGTTGTGTGATGTGATAGTATACATTAAAGCACAGAGGATATTCCAAGCTATTTTCTACTTATGGGTTGTGATTACCAAATAAATCTACAGCATAAAAGCACTTTACAGTCATACTGTACAAAAAGGCATTAAAATTTTAGTGCACTACACAGTGGGAATGAAAAAATAACATAACTGGTAACAGAGCTTTCTAATCAATATATCTGTTCCAGAACAGTTAGGCATGATTGTGTTTTCGGTTTTGTTTTTGTTCCTAGTAAAATATCTTTCTGGTTTTTCGTTTGGAGTTTTCCAGTTCGAGCCCTGGTTGTAAATACCATACACGGCAGCGACGCAAAGACTGTTTCAGTGATGTGGTTTGAGCAGAGATCATGGCAGGGCGGGGAAATTCATTATCCAAATGTATCGAGCAAAGCTGCCAGTTTACGGCATAGACAGGGACCATTTAGTAAGAAAAAAAATCATATTTCATTAGCAGCATAATGGCCAGGGTTTCTTGGCATCCTTGCTGAGTTGGAGAAGATAGCAGGAGAGAAAAGGGGGAGGGGAAATGAGAGGAAAAAGCCCCCCAAAAAAATGGTGATAAAATGCATGCCGGTCACATTTAATCCTATATTGCCCTAATTAAAGTATTTGATACCCTCAGCGATAGATGGGTCTAGCAACACCAGCAGCCTCTATTAATAGTCTTGGCTTGTGCCCTGGCTTCATGGGGTGCAATAACTCTGGGTAATTTTATTAATAAAATCATCTCTCTCCAGACCCCCCCACACTTCCCCTTGTGTGCCTTCCCATTTAGACATCAACTCCTGTCTTGTCCAGCGCACGCACACTCTGGCATAATGAATCACTCTAGAATGCATGAGCCCTCCTCTCTCTCTCTCTCTCTCTCTCTCTCTCTCTCTCTCTCTCTCTCTCTCTCTCTCTCACTTCTCTCTCTCTCTCTCTCTCTCTCTCTCTCTCTCTCTCTCTCTCTCTCTCTCTCTCTCTCTCTCAGACACCACACACACACCCACACACTCAAACCTCTCTGGCTCCTGACATGCAGAGCTAATACAGCCAAACTGAAAGTAGAGACTGGAGGTAAGAGGAGATCTAGCACAGTGTTGTAAGTGAATCTGTTCCAACTTGGCCCACGTACGAGTTAAAGAAACAAGTTTTGGCTTGATCCGGCTCACTTGGCTGGCTCAGGAATGTTTCAGCATTTGAGTTCTATGCACAATGTTCGAGTTTCTGTCTTCTGAACCAGACGCTGCAGTGAGCACAGACTCAGCCAAGACATTCTCTACAACCTTAAGGGAAAAAAAACAGCAGGTACAATGCAAATGAAAGCAAGCATAGTGCTACAAGCTAAGTTTGCAAAGATACCATACAATCCTAAAAAAAAAGGGTTCTTTAGTAAAGAAAATGGTTCTATACATAAAACTGTTAACATTCAAAGAACTCTTTGCTTGATTAAAGGGTTCTTTGCATGGTGAAATGGTTCTTCAGATTGACAGAGAATGTGCTGTAGATGGTTCTGTATAGACCTAGCACCAAAAAGGGTTCTGGGGTACAAGCTTGACATCGTAACAACAGCACAAACCTTTCTGCCATTTTCTTTACTTAAAAATCCTTGAAGAACCTTTTTTTATGTGTACATAAATATAATATATTAAAAGAATGAAGTACTATGCAAAAGTCAAAACATCCATTAAGAGCAAATTAGTCATTTTTCAGCAACAGGAGAAAAAGCATCAGTAACTATATATTCAAATGAAAAATTCCACAGAAGCATCAACAGCTAAATGTAATATCAAAATGTATATATTAATATTTAGTGCATCCACCCTTTTGCCTTTATTACAGTTTTTAAAAGAAATCTGCAGGGACGTTTTTCTACATCAAGTTCAGTCTTAGAAGTTGGTTGCATTTTCTGTTTCTCACGATCCACATACTTAATGACCATTTTGACTGGAAATTTAATAATGAAGAGTGGTCTCTGACTTCTGAAAATAAATTTTTTTAACTCTTGTAATATATTTAACTTTTGTAATATATTTAAATAAAACTTACTGCCAACTGTATCAACATTTTATGATAAAGGTACGAACGAAAACAGTCCAATATCTCATTAGACAGCGGCAATATATTCTGTTTATACCACAATATAATTATCATATTGACAACACATTAGTATAAAATACATGCACATACCTTTCCAACATAGAGCGGTTCCGTTCCTGTGTACTCTTCCACCACAAAGAACTGGTTCCACACCCAGCCCCTCTTCACTCTTTCATGAGACATGGGGCTTTTCTCACTAGTCCTTTCAACATGACAGGACACCCACCCCCAGCAGTGCAGGACCCCTAGAGTCACCACTAGAGTTGACGCCCTTCCTCTCCAGTGGGCAGCCATCTTGGAAAACTCTAGCTTCTACATGGGGCGAAGGGAATAATTCAGTCGAGATAAACTTTTCCTTCCACCTCTTGATATTGTTTTTTCTTTTGAGGAAGAAAAATAAAAATCCAAGATAGCAAGTTCTTTCCTGTTTGTGGAAGCTATAAATCCAATCAGTATTTCACCATTTTGAAAAGGTTGCTGCTGTTCCTCAGCAGATTTGTGAGCGAGTTAGGGAAGGAGCTAGATCATTGTGAATGCACACTGTATTCTGGGTGAGTATAGCCAGAAGTTTTCATCTTTTTATCTCTGTTTGGTTTCCTTGCAGTTCTGCAAGAGGTTGCAGCGAAGTCACAGGCAGTAGAGTTCACTCCGGTGTACCGTTTCCAAGGCCACAGGCTTGTGCGTCTGCTACTGAGTCTCTATGGGATGAGCAGGTTTTGGACCAGGTGATATGAGGCAAGGACATGCTTGGAAATCGAGATAGCCAAGCAGTGAAAGCTGTGAGCTTCAGTTGCTTTCAGGCTGGATCTCAGCAATTCCAGCGGGGCTATGCCATTGGAGATGAAACCAGGGCTTACAGTAATGCTCGCTTACTTATTAGTGATTTTTGGCATGTCAAAATTGGGTACTTGTGCTGTCCCACACATACATGTGCATATTTGAAGCTCTCTCTTCCAAGAGGAGAAATAAGAGGCACATCAGATGTACCTGATGAAAACTATTCATTCAGTGGAGGGATTTTTTCCAAACTGGGAAATGCTACTTTCTCTGAGGTTCCAGGAATATGTAATGGACTAAATCCAGAGCAGTAGGGGTTTGGTGCTTGGCATTGCTTCCTCGACAGGGCATCAGCTGCATCTACACTTGACCTCCCACGATCTTCTGGAGAACATGCTGGAAAACGATCAGCTCCCCTGAAATAGGGCATAGAGAGAGATATAGTGAGACAAGAGTTAATGATACTCCTGTGCAATATCTGGAGATTTCGATCTGACATATTTCTCCTCAGATATTGGACAAGAGCAGTGAGGGGAAAATAAATGGTCAAAATGTTCATTTTACATCTACAAAAATCCAATATCGTTGAGAGTCAGATTCTTTTTATCCAAACATAGTTCTCAGAAAGCAGCTCTGAACGAAAGAGCAAATTAACATTACTTTGAGCTCTATTAAAATACCAATATTCCAGTTCTCAGTGCTGTTTTTTTAAGTTGGCCAATTATACTGTACCTGAAAACTCAATTTATTTTTATAGAAACTGCTTGACCTGCTCACAAATGTGAGCCATTTGATCCTTATCCCATTGCTGTTGCCTTGTGCACTTCAAAATGAACGCATCAATAGTATTTATGCTGCTGCAGTGATAAACAAAAGATTTAATTTATTCACCCCAACCAGTTAAAGACAAATGCAATTTTAAAAACTATTCCTGACTCCAGCACTCCACTGCCATTTTAATTATTTGATTTGCTGTTTTGCATTCGGGAAAAAAAACCGTGTGCAGAAAATATGCTTTTAGGTTGGATAATCTACCTGCAAACATTTTTCAAGGCAGAATGTTGGGACTCAGCAAGAATCCCAGTAATGGGCTAAGCCCAGGAGCAATGCCTTGTGTGCGAGCTAGCCAGGTTTGGTGGAGGGGAGGAGGGACGGTTATACATCAAGAACCCGGCCCACAAAGCATCTGACTGCCTAGCTGTGGCCTGCGGCATGGGCCTTACACAAGGGGGCATCTGATTAATTGCATGAGGGACCACTAATTGGATAAACGCATTAATCAATTAATTCCATCCATCAGAGCAGCAAGCCTAATACTTCAAACAAACACTGGGCCAGAAGGTGTAGATAAGCTACGGCCCTGTTGCATGCACGGAGATCCGGCACTGGCCAAGGATAATGATTAATGGTCTTTTTGAAGCCTTGTGAATGTGGAGAAAAACAACATTTAGCGTAGCTAAGGTGTCACAACCTCAAGGCTAAGTGACTAAGGCAGCAGCAGACTAGCAAAACTCCTTAGGCTATTGCTTCCTTTGCCCTTTTATACTTCAACAAGCTGCACAAAAGGTTTCTTCTCTGGCAGTTTTAGGGTTTTCTACTTTATGATGCTTTTACAAAAGCTTTAAGTTGATATGTACAACTCATGCAGAGAGCAGATAAGAGGCAAGAAGAAAAGCAGCTTTATAGAATCAAGTGATCCAAGAAAATCAGGCAGTTGTCTACAAGAACGTGGACAACCTGCATGTTAGTAGGGCTGCATACAAAACATCCTCACGACAGTATTGTGGATAAGCTTGTGGTGATGCGTGTTTCTTTTTTTTTCCTATGTGTATCGTTACAAGACACATTAATACATCGGTGATGCATTTAAGTCTGAGAGTATGCTGTTTACAACATCCACCACATAGCAAACCTTTGCTATATTTAGGATTTGGCTCTGTATTTATTATTAGTATGTGTATAAAAGGCTGCATTGGAGAAGAAGCTGTTTCTGTGCGTCGCATGTTCAAGAGGAATGGAGTACAAAGTGAAGTTCATCCATCAGGTTATCAGTCTGCTGTTCTGTGCATGAATGAAATGAGCATTCTTAATAACTGCTGTTAAGGCCTGCATTATCCTTACTAGTTATGTAGTGGACTTACTTTCACTTTCACAGACGTGGTTTAGTTCTCGGTTGTAGTGTTATAAGTCCGCAGCCCCCTGTGATTAGCGGGTAGCCGCTTTGTTTACGGCTTTGTAGAGCTGCTTCGTTTCATAGCACTGTTAAAAACTAAACAGATTATGTTGCTGTGATGTGTGTGATCTGTGGTCCGTATAAGTGGACCACTCTGAAAGTCACTGAATATTTTAGAGCCACAAATTCTCTCACACAGTCTCGTGTGCCCAAGTACTGACCACTGCCTGCAAGGATTCTGTTGATTAAAAGTGCAAAAACTGCCTCTTTGTGCTCTGACCAGCACCTCAGCGTGAACCATACCTACAACATAGTTTTTAGAATTTCGCCCAGCACTATTTATTATAATTCTTCTACAGTAGAAGAAAACAGTGGCTGTCATAGAAGAAAATCAAACTTTATTTTTTTTCAGTTATTAAACAATTTTATCACCTGTGTGTAAAGCACTCTAAGCTGCCACCGGCATGGAAAGTGCTAAAATTATTATTAAAGTGCTTAAATTATTATTAAAGTGCTAAGATGAGTAACATTTTATGGTTATTATTATTATTATTATTATTATTAGCATTAATAGCATTAATAGTAGTAGTAGTTGTAGTAGTAGTTGTTGTTGTTGTAGTAGTAGTAGTATTGTAAAACTTAAAGCACTATAAAGCACTTTGAGCTGATTATTATTATTAAATTATTAAAAAAGTAAACATTCATTTAAAAAGTCATTTTTATTAAAGTAACTATAATAGAAGAAATTGGTAGCTATAATAGAACATCAAACGCAACTTTTTCTTGTGTTCTTGTATTAACAGTTAAACTTTATCACCTGTCTATAAAGATCTTTGAGCTGTCTATTGTACATCTGGTCTGTTTCGTCACTTTATTATATTGTGACGTATCTTGACACTTACATTGTGATATGTATCGTATCATGAAGTTGATGACAATATTCAGCCCTAATTTTTATTTACTGCATTATAAAAACAAATTACTGGCAATTTCAGACATTTAGATGAACTACTCTTTCAGCAGAACTGGTGGATACCAAAGTGAGACAAAGACAGATCGTGTTTTTATGATCCAGGCAAATCCTGCGGCACACAACTCGCTGAATAGTTACTTACATTAGCACACTCAAAGTGTCAGCAGGCCGCAGGAAGGATACCAGTAATAGCTTAGCACAGTCTTAGCAGATGGTTAACGGTGAGTATGTGACTTCTCTTTGATCATCACCGGTGGAGGCTGAATTTGCAGAAATAAACACTCAATTTTCACCAGGGGCGCCTTGTTAGCCTCCCACAGTTTGATTTTGATATCTTTCTTTCACAGAAAAAAGGTACTCCTGCGTATTCTTATCCTCCATTGGCCAGTATGACTGTGATCTCTGTTTGTTGCTCTAACTGCAAGCTACGTTTGATGAAAAGGGGCTGTGACGTGCATGGCATTTAGGAGCGCTGCTCTACTGGTGACTCTGGTCACAAATGCGCAGTATCACTTTTTCAGGATGGAAAAACACAAAGAAGAAGAACAGAAGACATGGGACAAATTGTAACTCCTTAAGACATGGTTTATGTTATGAAAAATGCTCTGGAGAGACTACAAAGAGAATAAAAAAAGATAAAACAACAAAAACCAGAAAAAAAAGTTTCACGACTTCACATCACATCCCAATAACCAGCAATACTTACATATGTTGAACTGCGGTCCATCAAAACCATCAAACAAGCTCCCTTTTTACAATTATTTGATCATAAAATAATGTTTTCATGTTTGCAATTAGTCCTGAATGTGTTTGGCTAAAGAGCTCCCTTCAAAGTAAAAGCATGTTGTTTGTTCCTGTTTTTTTTGCCTCAAAGGAAAACATCTCAGCAAAAGAAAAAAAAATACAGATTAATTTATTTCAGTCTATCTCCATGTTCCCCTGTGCCGTTTGCAGCAGATTTTCTTACTTGGCCTAGCCATGTGCTTATGATTAATTATAAACCATTTGTATCAAATAGTTTTCTGGGTGAACATATTTCTCTGAAGTACTTTTCCAAGCCCAACCATTTGCTTGCACTCAGAACTCTTTGGCATTTAATAGGAAAAAAAAACAACAAAGTGGAATCCCTCTGTGTATTTCTTTCCCCCCTCCCCTTTAGCCCCCGCCTTTTCTTCCCACTCTTGAAATTCTTATTAAGGGTTCGCGCAATTTGTCCCTAATTAAGGCAGAGAGTGTGGTGCGTTAATGAATTGGCATTGGGGGGAGAAAAAAAGAGGACTTGGTGCTGGTGCAGTTGGCCACATCCAGAAGTCACTGGCCTGGGCTAATTAGCACGATGTCAATTAGCAAGCTTCAGAAGAAGGGGGGGGTTACATCGGTGGGGTTTTGATACAGACGTAAGGCCTCCCTCTCCCCACCCAAAGCGCTATTGGCAAGCCGGATGCGCTCATTCGTGACCTATTAGGTCCCGGATTGATTAGAAAACATGGCTGCTACTTCTCATCAGTCGCCAGCCGGAGTGCAGAGGCCGTGACAGCTGGCATCCGCAGCCTGAGAGGAGACTGATCACCACCGAGTGATGGGCCTGGGGCCAGAGGCAGAGGCGAACAGCCTCTCAGTCTCGCTCACTCTCTTGCTCTTTCTCCCTTTCAACCTGCCCAACGTCTATCCCTTTAACACGAATCACCAGAGTCTATTGGCTGATGTGTGCCATTCACTGTAGAAGAACAAACACAGCAGCTCTACGTCTGGTGACAGTGACATTTAGGCCGAGCTCCCCTTTTTTAATCCAAAAAGTTGCAGGAAATGCAAAGGAAAGATTAAAAACATCCAGCTGACTACAGAGAAAAACTGATTTGAGCACATTTTAAAAAACACTATTTTGAAACTAATAGCCTGAGGTTAATACCACCCTCCATTCCCCCCAAAGGTAGCCTCGAGTTTTGATGTGACGTCCAGTTGTGCAGTAGCCAAACACTGCCCCACTATGCTTCGCCTTTCTCCTGGATCAGACACATGAAAGCTCTCATCAAAACTCGACCCACATGGACTACATACGGCTTTGGTTATTCAAGTGAGCCAGTGCTCAAATCCCCTTTGTGTGCCTATTAAAAGTGGCCATCTTTGGCATCTGAAATCCCAATTTGTCACAGTCATTTGGCTGTGTCAAACCTCAGGAGCCGCAGAGCTGAAATTCATAAACAAGAAAAAAAAAAAACCCTTGACTTTAGAGGGACAAAGTGCAATGATGTTTGATTCCAGTGGTCAAA